CGATTCATAACAGTAGCAAAATTACAGTTATAGAGTAGCAACGAAAATAATTTTATGGTTGGGGGTCACCACAACATGAGGAACTGGATTAAGGGGTCGTGGCATTAGGAAGGTTGAGAACCGCTGACTTAGGCAAAAATTAAGACACTCCTCTGTCCCTGGCTCCTCTGGCCTCGGAACCTCAGTGACCATTCCACTGATTCTTTTCCTTCTACCCTTTTTTTCCTCCTCTACATTCTTTAATTACCTCTTGCATTAGGGAATGGGGTTTCCTGTTTGTTCCCTCATACAGAGAGTAGCATCTGTCTACATAGTATAAATAAAGCAGTAAAGACCTCCGTCTTGAGATGAGAATCAAAAGAAGAAAGCAACTCAGAGCTGGAAAGGTGAAACATGGATTACTTTAAGAAATGTAATATTTTAATTTTAGAAAAGCCATAACCTAGGAATCCGAATTCTAAATTTTTCTTGGCTAATAGTGAGGCAAGTCACATAAACTTCCAATTATTTTGTTTTTTCTTTTTAACAGCTTACTTAGTATTTTTGGCATTATGTGCCTCAAGTGTTGAAAACCGTCAAATGAGCGGTGCTGCATAATTATAAAGGTGATGCTGTTTTTAATAATTCCAGAAATTTTTTTATAGGAGCACCTATAACAGAATTAGACTCACCTCGATTGCCCTCACATTTATCACAGTATGAACGGGATACATTACTTGTTCAACCAGAGGTAAAGTCTTTACTAACACTTAGTACTGTACTATTCACAAGACATATTGTTTACATTTATGGGCATATACATTTGACCACTGCATTTTTACTAAAATTATATATGTATGCTTTTTATATTGTAGGAAGTAGTAGAAATGTCACACATGCCAGAAGAGTTATTTAATTTATATCTCCACCAAAACTACGTAGATTTCTTCATGGAAATAGATGATCTTGTGAGAGCCAGTGAATTTCTGAGTTTTGCAGATATCCTCAGTGGTGACTGGAATGTAAGCCCATTTGACTTAAATGTTTTTGTTTATGCATATTTCCTCAAAATTAAGAAAGATTTACTTTTATCCTTAATTATTTTACATGATTTCATTAACTTCTTAATATCTATGATAACATTAATTCGCCCAACCCATTGTTTATAATAAAGCATCTCCAGTTAATCTGATTTTTCTGGTGCTAATATAACACTGATTTTTATCTAAGGATGTTTTATTATTATAAAATTAATATATACTCAGAAATTTTGACAAACATTAAAAAGTGGATAGAAGGGTAAGAACTGTGCTTCTTTCTATACTTTTTCTGATAGTCTTTTAAAAATTTTTTTTTTTTTTTTTACAAATTTGAAATTATTCACTATAAAAATCTGTATTTTTAAGAACATTTTAACACTACTCTGACTAGTGTAGTAGCCACTAGATACATATGGCTATTTAAATTAAATTAAAAATTCAGTACCTTGGTAACACTAGCCACATTTCCAGCTACATGTGACTAATAGGTACTGTATTGAGCAGCCCAGATACAAAACATTTCTATCACAGAAAGTCCCATTGGTATAAATTCATTTTTTGTATGTCAATATGTCTCTGTTATAAATATTGAAGTAGCATTAATTAAAATCAGGAAAAACAATAAAAAACATTTATGATACAGTATCATTTAGAGTTTCATTATTCAACAGTTGTATTTGCTTAATTTTTCTATATTGCTTTTTTGTTTTGAAATTTGCCAATCTATCAACAAATTGAAAGAATAGTACAGTGAGTACTGGTATACTTTTAACTTTAGTTCAGCAGTTTTTATTTATTTATTTATTTATTTATTTATTTTTAATTATTTTAAAGATTTTATTGGGGATTTGGAGGGGAACAGCACTGGGGAATCGGGGAAGGGGAACAGACAAGTTGCTATCCTTTTGTTCTTCAGTCTAGTTGTGGAGGACGTTGCTTCACTGGCCCATGTTGGTATTATCATTGCGCTCTTCCCGGTGAGGCAGATCGGTCTCTGGCCTCTGGACGGCCGCTCACGGCAGCTGCTGGCCACTCACGCTGGCTGCCGGCCACTCACGGTAGCTTACAGCAGCCCACTGCAGCCCACATTGTCACCGGCGACTCACGGCAGCCCAACTCCGGGTCGAGCTGTTGTTCAGCATCTTAGCTGTAGAGGGCGCAGCATCACTGGCCCTCTCATGTGGGACCCGAACTGGGGCCCTGCTGCTCAGAGCTGGCGTCCCAAGCCAGCTTTTAACCAACACGCCACTTGGCCAGCCCAGCAGTTTTTATATTTTGCCACATTTGCTCAATGTCTCTGTGTTTACACACTTGTTTTAGCTGAATGATTGCAAAATAATTGCTAACACCATGACATTTATGCCTGCATAAGGACATTATTACAAGTATTATAGTATTATCACACCTAAGAAAATTAACATTAATTTGGTAACATACTGTCCTTATTTCGATTTCCCCAGTTGTCTCAAAAATATATTTAAAGTTGTTTCTTCCACCTCCATCCAAGATCCAGTTAGTTTATACATAGCATTCAATTGGTATTTCTCAGTTGGATTTCCTTTAAGTAATCTTGTAGCATATTATTTTTAGGGCTGCAGTGGTGTTGAAAAAGTGAACTTAACAGTAAATAAATATGGCTAGTCTTTTTTTTTTGGTGTGAGTAGCACCAGTAATACTACTTTATAAATCTTTTATTTTCTTTATCTCCTTTTTTAGACACGCTCTTTACTCAGGGAATATAGTACATCTGTAGCTACGAGAGGTGTGATACATTCCAACAGAGCGCGAGGATTTGCTCATTGCCAAGGAGGAGGATCAAGTTTTCGACCATTGCACAAACCCCAGTGGTTTCTAATTAACAAAAAGGTAAAAAAAGGAATTATACACTTTCAGTATGTAAATTTTATGGTATGTGAATTATATGTCAGTAAAGCTGTTATTTTTTTTTAAGTTAAAAAGGAAAAATGTTTTATTCTTAACAAGAAATACTTGCTGAGACCCACAATTTTCTTAAAATTATGATAAAGCATAAAAGGACAGTCTTCCTATATGCTTAGTCATTTTTTTAAGGATAAAAAACACTCAAAATTTGAAAGCACAGTACCTATTTATTACCTATATATAGTTGATTATTATTTAGAATCAAAGTATAGTTATAATATTTTAGTTTTAATTGAAAATAAATCCTGCAAATGTGATGGAAGGAGAACTGACTGGATGGTGAACACACAATGCAACATACAGGTGATGTGTAACAGAAATGTATGCTTGAAACCTGTATAATTTTACTAACCAATGTCACTACAATAAATTTAATAAAAGAAAATAAATCGTGGCTTTGCCTCAATCCATCTGGACAAGTTATTTTACCTAAGAACTAATAAGTGTGTGTGCTTAGTTTCCACAGCTATAAATGGAGAGGATGGAATTAGAGGTCAGAAACAGGAGGCCCACAAGTTGAATACAGCACAGATTTTTTTTTTTAAAAAATGAATTGCCAATCTTTAAAAATTAGTATAATAATTAAAACTCAGATATGGATTTCTGGCTTCAGAAATTCTGGAATCTCCTGGGGAAAAAATGCAAAGTAAGGTAACACTGGCCTATATTTTTACATGGCAACAATCTGCCCCTTGAAAATCGGAGTGGCAGGTACCATTGTCTTCAGCTGTTCCACTGCACTGATTTGTGTTACCTGCCTGGCTCCTGTAACATCTGAATTTGACCCTTTGGAGTAGGTCATCTCTTAAGCTGTCTTCCAAGGCCGGCCGAGTGGCTCAGTTGGTTAAGAGCTTGCTCAAGAGTGCGAGCTCTGAGCAACAGCGGTTCGAGTCCTGGCCTGAGCTGAGCTGCCACTGAGCTGCCAACAGGTGGCAGGATGGCTCAGCTAAAAGTAAATAAATAAATAAAATAAGATGTCTTCCAGTTCTAAAATCCTATGACTAAATATTCGCCTCTAATTCATAACTTAAGAAATTTTTTCGAGTGGATTTCTTGGAGAATTTTATGACTTTCAAGCAATTTATGTCCATTATTGACATGCTTTGCTCTTTGTATCACATTAATTTTGCATTATAGTTACATATGAACTATCTACGACTGAAAGCTCCTTTAAAGCAAGTTTATACTTCTAGCCTTATCAGTCTAACATTGGACCTGTGTTAACTGAAGAAAATAAGCTTTCTGTTGTTTTTTGGGTTTGTTTTTATTGGGGAATTGGGGGGAGGGGAACAGTGTTGGGGAATTGGGGAAAGGGAACAGCCAAGTTATTGTCCTTCAATCTTAGTTGTGGAGGACACAGCAAGCTCAGCTCCAAGTCCAGTCGCGCCACTTAGCTCAAGGTGCTGTTTTCAATTAGTGCGGGTGGGCGTAGCCACCTCATTATTAAGAGCGCACACTGTATCCATGGAGCCATCCGGGCAGCAGCTCAGATCAAGGTGCCGAGTTCAGTCTTACTTGTGGGTGGGCGTAGCCACCATCCCATGCGGGAGTTGAACTGGCAGACTTGTTAAGAGTGCATGCTCTGGCCGGCCTTGTAGCTTGTTGGCTAAGAGTTGACTTAGAAGCGCGAGCTCTGAGCAGCAGAACCGTCAGTTCGGATCCCACATGGGCCAGTTACACTGGGCCTTCTACAGCTAAGATGGTGAACAACAGCTTGACCTAGAGCTGGGCTGCTGTGAGTTGCCAGCGACATTGTAGGCTGCAGTGGGCTATCGCGAGTGGCCGGCAGCCAGCGTGAGCCACCATGAGCAGCCGTCCAATAGCCGACAACCGATCTGCCTCAGCCAGGAAGAGCGCAATGATCACAATACCAACTTGGGTCAGTGAAGCAACGTTCTCCACAACTAGACTGAAGAACAAAAGGACAGCAACTTGTCTGTTCCTCTTCCCCGATTCCCCAACGCTGTTCCCCTCCCCCAATTGCCCAATAAAATCTTTTAAAAATAAAAGGTCAGAATTAAATCTTTAAAAATATATATATATATTTTTATTTTTTTTAATTGTTATGTCAAATGTGAAATAGTTGTGTAAGATACTTTATTAGAATGCTAGGATAGTTATAAAGGACTAATTACATAAACTCTTAAAAATATATTTGTAGTATATAAGCCCACATACTTTTGTGATATAATAAACTTAGTGTGTCTAGGAATACATATCCATATTTTTTATTTTTCATTTCATCTTTTTTTTCCTTCTATGCAGTATCGGGAGAATTGCCAGGCAGCAAAAGCACTTTTTTCTGACTTCTGTTTACCAGCTTTATGCCTCCAAACTCAGCTGTTGCCATACCTCGCTTTGCTAACCATTCCAATGAGAAATCAAGGTAATAACATTAGTTGTTATTTTCCCCAAGAAGCAGTGTCTTATAACATTATCTTTTTATCCTGGTGTGTCCTGGTAAGACTAAGCTTTTTTCCCTTTAGTTTTTGATCCAGAATTAATACATGCTTTTTGATTTAAAAAGAAATAAATCAGATAATACAGAAGTATATAAAGTAAAAGTTGAAAGTATCCTATAATCATAGGTGGTTCATGTTGACAAATTGGTATAAATTCTTCCAGACTTTTTTCTGTGCATATATAAATATTAGATATAAGCTTTAATTTGCTCATGTCACATACCATGGATAGCAGTTCATATTTTATAAATTATTGGTAAAGTAGCATTGGAGTCTGGGAAGTCCAAAATCAAGGTACTTGCAAATCCAGTGTCTGGTGATCGCCTGCTTTCTAGTTTGTAGTTGGCTATCTTCTCATATTCATACATGGCGGAGAGCAGAATAAGCGAGCTCTCTCTGGAGTCCCTTTTATAAGGGAACTAATCCCATTTATGAGGGCTCCACCCTCATGACCAAATTACCTCATAAGTCGCCACCTCCTAAAACCATCACATGGGGGGGTTAGGATTTCAAAATATAAATTTGAGTTGACACAGACATTCAGCCCATAAATTAACAATGCTAAAGTATATTTAAATCTAATTCAGTTTTAAAAAACTTATACTAATTTTATTTAACCTTACTTATATTTTGTTTGATTTCACTACTACAGTGTCCATTAATAGTATATTTACCTTGTATTGCCAAATTTTGAAATTGTAAATAATGCTAAAAAATTAGTATACCTCTGGCAAAACACATGCACAACTATATCTACTGAGGTTTGCCTTTTCATGAGCTTCACCAATTTTTCCATTGTTTGTTCCTCTTTTATACTGTGTATTTTAAATGCCACATTTCATTGACAGTCCTAGGTCACGTGTCTGTGATGCTGATCTTGAAGGTGGAACAGAGAATTTGTGTAATATTTGAAATATTAATAATCTACCACATAAACGCATCAGACTTCTCAGAAATTTTAAAGATAGGGTTTGCCTTGTGACTGATTTGAAGAGAGGATTATAGAGTAAATGTCTGCCTTCATTCAATAAGAGTGCATCTTGTGGCTTTTAAGAATATTGATACTTAAAGATTTAAAATATTCTGCATTCATAGATAGAAGTGGGATGAGGGATGACTTTTGAGCACTGGACAAAATTAACCTGTGAATCAGAATACAGAGATTTCCCTATCCATGCCTGTTATTTTGAAAATTATACTAGTTTTTTTAACTTTATTTTGAAGTAATTTCAAACTTAGAGAAAAGCTGCAAGAATGGTAGGAAAGAAGTCTTGTATATCCTTCACCAGGATTCCTCAGTGTTCAGTTTTTACCGTATTTACCATTTACTCTCTTTTTCTTTATATGTACATGCACACACACTTTTTTTCTGATCCATATTAGAGTATATTGCAGACATGGTACCCATTATTCTTAAACACTTCAGGAGAATGTTCCTGAAAACAAAGACATTCTCCTACATAACCATGTATACACATCAAAATTAGGAAATTAACTTTGATAAACTACTAGCATCTAATTTATATACACTCCATTCAGAGTTTTCTAGTCCTAATCATGTCCTTTGTAAAATTGTTCTCTTTCTTGTCCAGAATCCAGTACAAAATCACACGATGTAGTTACTATGTGTCTTCAGTCGTCTTTGATCTGGAACAGTACTTGAGTCTTTCTTTGTCGATGACATTTTTGAAGCAAATATGACAGTTACTGTGTAGAGACTGTTCCTCAGTATAGGAAGTGTGATCAAACAATACGGTGAATGTTTAAATTTTAAAAAAATTGTTACAGTAAAAGACACATTGCCATTAATCCCTCTAAATTTACTCTCCCTCACTTTGAACACATTTATCCCATCATTCTTCCCACTTTCTGAAGCAGTTCTGGAAGTCCTCTTTCCTGGGTGTCTTTAGTTTTGCTGTTGTGGCTGCCTCCATGTCCTGAATCGATTCAAAACGTTTACCTTTCGTGGTCATTTTGACTTTGGGGAAGAGCCAGAAGTCATACAGTGCCAGATTCGGTGAATAAGGTGGATGAGGACACACCATAATGTTTTTATTTGACAGAAATTGCCATACCCAAAGCGATGTGTGACACGGAGCATTGTCATTATGGAGGATGATTTACAGCACACTTTAAAACACAGCTTCTCTCAACCGTAGCTCACACCTGATTGTACTGAACAAGTTGAAACGTGTCACACACTGTTAAAGTTCGATGCTTTGCTTCCTGTACTGAAGATCCCTGCCTTTCCATTGGATGGCACTGGGCAGCAGCAGTCACCATAATTTTTTATCACAACAGAAAGGTTCCTTGTCACACATTGCTCCTGGCATGGCAATTTCTGTCATATAAAAACATTACGGTGACAGCTCAACCTGGAGCTGGGCTGCTGAGTCGCCGGCGACAGCGTAGGCTGCAGCAGGGCTGCAGTGGACTGTTGTGAGCTAAGTGAGTGGCTGGCAGCCAGCGTGAGCGGCTGGTAGCTGGTGTGAGCTACGGGGAGCCGCTGTGAGCGGCCCACCAACGACCGGCGACCGATTGCCTCACCNCAAGTTGGCACCATCATTGCGCTCTTCCCGGGCGAGGCAGATCAGTCGCCAGCTTCTGGACGGCCGCTCACTGCAGCTGCTGGCCGCTCACACTGGCTGCTGGCTACACACGGTAGCCCATGGCAACCCACTGCAGCAGGGGCTGCAGCCTACGTACGCCGTTGCCAGCGACTCTCGGCAACCCAGCTCCAGGTTGAGCTGTTGTTCAGCATCTTAGCTGTAGAGGGCAGTGTCACTGAGCTTCATATGTGGGATCTGAACCGGGGTCCTCTGGCATCCCAAGTCAGCTCTTACCCAACGCACCACTCGGCCAGCCCCAAATATTTTATAATTATTGTTTACTAGGAAAATATTTTTTAATTAGAATACTTACTGTAACTATATCTGAAATGTTCTCAGTTTTAGCTTTCATATTTTAATTTTATTTTAAATATTGTGATTTGGGTGTATATTATTTAGGAGGAAACAATTCATGCCTAAGGAAAACGGGAATGTCTTCAGTAAAATCAGATGCTGCGCTGTCAAAGTCAAAACGAAGAAAAAAACCTGATAAGGTTTTTGAAAATCAAGAGATCCAAGCTATTGGTGGCAAAGATGTTTCTCTCTTTCTCTTCAGAGCTTTGGGGAAAATACTATATTGCAAAAGTAAGGAAGCCTTATACATTTTTTAAAATCTCTTAGATATTGGTCTTACAACTGAAATAAAATACCACATTTTTTAAAATGTCACGTATTTGGTTCTGTTATAAGAAGCATCTAGGGCTCCGTCAGATACTGTTTGGCAAGGGCTAAGACAAACCGGAAAATGGATTTAGAGTATGTTTGGAAAATGAGTAAGATTAAACATAAAAACTAACTACTGTAGCCCGTGTTCATGTTTGTAAGTCTTTAAAATTATAGTTTGCTAACGGTAAGCCATCAGTCCATCGAGACTTTTAGTGGCAAGTGTTGGTTGTCCAAAGCCCTGTTAGCACTGAGCTCTGGCCACCAGGGCCCTGGGCACATGGCCAAGGAGCGTCACGTTTCTTTGGATTCTCTTATGTTTCTCTGTCCTCTTCACTATCTGTTCCATTCCTCTCTTCTTTCTTTAATGCCTGTTTCCCCTCCGCTGCTCCATCCCAGCCACCCATCTCTAAGCTCCCAAATTATCGCTCCTTTGAATAAAATCGAAAACTCCTTTATACGGAAAATGACAGTTTTCAGTATTAGGATCCTGAAGGAAGAAAGTTGAGATTTCTCTTTTTTTATTGATCTGATGTGATTTTTATAGAGAATAAAACAGTTTACACAAATTTTTGAAGGAAAATCGTGAAGGTTATATTTTATATAACAAAAAGTATATAATCATCATGAACCATAAAAAAGGTCTTATGTTTTCGGTATCCTCAGTATACTCTCAGATAGTTGTTCAGATCTCTTATAAAATAGCTTTATCAGTGAGTCACAAATGTGAACATTCATTCACTGAAGCTTCAAGCTTATCACACCTGTTATTCTCTGAGACTGTTTTCTGGTTGCCAAAGACTCAGTTGCTTCAAACTACAGTTTTCATCTTCCTATAAAACTCTGAGTGCCTCTTATATCTGCTTTCCATCTTATCTTCCTTGCCTCTTTGTATTCTGTTGTGTCTATATACTGGGGATGTCAAAAAAATGTATACAAGTGGACACTGGTCAACATTGCTCAAGCAATAGTTTGCCGTAAACAGAAGTCAAGTGTCTGAATGCTGATGGTAACCACTTTGAGCACCTCTTGTAATTGCAGAAGTCAAACGTGACTTATATTCATCTTTTGTTATCGGTATACATTGAGTGTTACAATTTTAATAGTCTTTTTCCTTTCTTAAAATGTGTATATAATTTTTGGCACCCTCTGTATTTCTGCTTCATTCCCTCCTCACTGCAGGCTTCCTGGTTTTAGGCTAATGTCTCAGTTTAGTCTTTCTAGGTGGTTGAAAGTTGGGATTTCAAATGGAAACCTTCATGCCACCTGAAGGAAATGAAACAGGCATCAACTTAGGCCAGCGGTTCTCAACCTGCGGGTCGCGACCCCTTTGGGGTCGAACGACCCTTTCACAGGGGTCGCCTAAGACCATCGGAAAACAAAAAGATATTTACATTACGATTCATAACAGTAGCAAAATTACAGTTATAG